CATTAAAATGATTAGATTGCATTTTAAAGTATAATTCAGATACTCCTAATGCATCCTTTTAATAGAAATATTGTCTCTAAGGATCCTAAGTAATATTCAATGGAGAGAAGGAAAAGAAATTAGTCCCTTAAGACGCATGTCACTTAGACTGTTAGCAACATGCCTGGCTTGTTGGATGAGGGTGACTGCCTGCCAAGAACCTGGAACTCACAGTCAAGTGTAACAGCTGATGAGGCCTTCAGCAAGCCATTTCTCAGAGAAACAATTTCTCCCGCCTGCAAAATATGTACTTTTCAGAATAAGGCTTTAATAAAAACTCCATGTAAAACCATGTTATTAATAGTAAAGAGCTGCATAAATGAAAGTTGTTAGGTACTGAAGTGGGAGGACACAGAGTCTAGATAGAGATACGTGTCAGCTTCCCAAGGGCGCATGGTGGTGAAGAACTATGTGGATCTGAAGTTAATTCCTGTTATTACCACTTACTAGAGGTAAGTGGAACCTTGGGCAAGTGTTTTAGCTTCTCTGAGCCTCAGTTTTCATCACAAAGCCACCCATCTCATAGAGCTGCTATGAGGTATGTCAGTTAACCCCATTAGAACAATGTCTGGCACAAGGCACACATTCAGTAAATGCTAGCTAATGGTAATTCAACCAAATAGGTACTAAAAAATATTAGGGCTACAATAATAATGAGTCACACTTCCTGAAGAAGTTAATGACCTGTTCATTCATTCAACACCAAACCAAAGTCACCAAGCAGAGGCACTATATGAGACACTGGAGATACAGAGATAAACAAAACATGGCGCTAGACTTTGTAAGTTCAAAGTCTGATGAAGGAGACAGACGTGTAAACAAATAACTGTCATCAACAGACAGTGGAATGGAAAACTGAGACTCAGCTCAGGTTGGAAGAGGCCTGGCAGAGGTGCCAGCATCTGATCTGAGTTTTGAAGAAAGAAAAGAAATGCTACCATCCTCAACAATCTCCTGGGCTACTGCAGTAGCTGTCCACATGATGGCCCTGCTTCTACCATTGTCCCCTAGTGATCTGTTCTTCACATAGCATCCAAAGAGGTTTTTTTAAAAAAAAAACAAAAAAAAACCATATAATATTCTCTTGCTTCACATCCTTCAATAGCACCCCACTGTGATCAGGACAACCCAAGCTCTCTATCAGGGGCTTAAAAGCTCTCTATAATCTGGCTCCTGCCTGCCTTTCTATATCATTCCCCTTGTTCTCTACTTCCTCCCTACATTGACCTTCCTGTCCCATGAACGCCACATTCATTCCTTCCCGAAAGCCTTTGCACGAGCTTCTCACTGCCTGAAGTGTGTGCTCACAGGTCTTCAAAGCTCTTCAAAGATCCCTTTCCCAACTTTCTAATCAAAATTAGCTTCTTCCCTTCCTAAACTGCTATTGCATTACCCTCGTTCATTTTCTCAAAGCATTCACCATAATCTAAAATTGTCTTGTGTGTACGCTTATTTGCCCATTTACTGACTATCTGACTAAAATGTAAGCTCCTGGTGAGCAGAAACTGTCTCTATCTTGTTCACTTGAATAACAGAATAGCAGAATGCTCAGCCCAAAGGTTAGATGACTGTCCCAATCCCCCAAACCCAACGGCCTGAGGCACCTCTCCTTTCAGGTGCAGTTCGCCCATGCAGACAGCACTGAGTTTGAAGCAGGGATTATCCTGAGCAATATCTCCTAGCACACTGTCCCTGCTCTACTGCTATAACCACATTCTGAACACAAAGAGGGAGACATTTGTGACAGACTAGGTGTTACCTAGCACCCAGAGACAGGCACCAGATGTCTGAAAGATTAAAAAAAGGTACAGAGGAAGCAACTTCCTCAGGAAGCTGTGAGGAGGCCCTGGGCCCTCAGGCAGAACATCAGCCGCTGAAGACCGCAGCAGAGTGACACCAGCAGACCAGCACCGTGAGGATGCCCACCCACCACACAGCTAGACCCGTGGCCCTAGAATTGCAAGAGGCACTGGAGAACACTAATATGAAACACTAAGTGCTTATGACTCAGATTATGGTTTCTAATTTCATTTTGCTCTTCTGGGAGTTTGACTTGCCCTTTATGTTGGCAAGTGCGAGAACTAGTGGTGACTATACCACCATGATCTTTATCTTCAGTTTTGGGGTAAGAGCTTGAGATATCAAGAGAGCCAAGCCATTGAGAGCGAACTGGGCCCTTTCTGTTACAAATGTCTTTATCCAAAGGATTACATGAACTAAAATGCAGGTGTGGCACATTACAAAGAAGTTACAAAATCCATTATAGGTAAGGCTCTTAGGTAGAACTTAAATTTAATCATGCAAGTATGTAGATCCCAAAGTAGAATGCTACCAAATGGTTTAACCCTGTAAGTGCTACATTGAAATGTGATTTTTCCCGTTATTGTTCATCACCAGGGAACAGTGACACCCTGGGATAGGAAATTAGAAAGAACAGTTAATGCTAACAAGGCATGATAGTCCAGCCCTTCTTGCACTGGTTGCTTCTCATCTAAACTTTTTTCCGTTCAATATTTAATGAGATGCTACCACTGCACTAGGCACAACAGAAAATAAATCCCTCTAATAAACCCCTCAAAGAATTTATAATCTAGCAGGGCAGAAGAAAGCAAATTCACAGAAGCTATGAAATAAGGCAATCTCAGCTTAGAGGCTGGATAGGCAGCCTTCTAGATGAAGTTCTGGGACTGAGGAAAATGACAGTGACCTAGAAGGTGGGTGGATGTTGACAGCACAGAGACCACCGTAGATAGGACAGCCTCAGTAAGAGGATACAGCGAGAAGACTGTGGACTCAAGAAACAACAATCTTATAGTCTGGGGCACAGAAAGTTGAAGTCTAATCTCTAGCCCTAGCTGATTTGGCTCAGTGGATACAGTGTTGGCCCACAGACTGAAGGATCCCAGGTTCAATTCCTGGCGAGGGCATGTACCTTGGTTGCAAGCTCAATCTCCAGCCAGGGTCAGGGTGCCTGCAGGAGGCAACCAATCGATGTGTCTCTCTCACATCAATGTTTCTCTCTCTCTGTCTGTCTCCCTCCCTCCCTTACACTCTCTCTAAAAATCAATGGAAAAATATCCTTGGTTGAGGATTAACAACAACAATAAAGTCTATACTCTAATTTTCTTCTTTTCCTCATATTACCTAAGACCCAATTCTCAATATGTGTGTGGTAGGCTCTAAATCATACTTATCCAATAAATTAAAAAATTAATCCAGAGAGAAAATAATGAAATCTATTCAATTTACTTTAAAGTGGCCGCTGCAATGGGTGTTCTTGGGCTTTTCTAATAATTTGGGCCATGGTACAACTCTTCATGGTAGAAATCTTTGGTTATGGGCAGATACTTGTATTGTCTCATTAACAATATGGGAGCATTTAAGGAGAGTGGGTAAGGGTGTGAATCTTCAAATTTGGAAAGTTGTTGGGCCCAACACTTTGTGGATGTTAAAAAAAATGAGGAAGACTTGTCTATAAATCAATTTTACTATGCTGCAACCCCCCACACACAGAGTCTAAGGATTACTATAAACACAAAAGGACAGGTATCATGAACCTTAATCAGTGATCCAAAATTCTCTACTTTAAATGCAGCAGCACCTGTAGCTATAAGCTTCAAATTCACATTGCTCTGGGGTGTGTCCTCTTGTTTCATGAAGTGTAAATTTCATCCCTGCATTTTTATCCAGGACACATGCTAGTGAACACATTAACTTTTTTATCCTGCATACTAACACTTGAGGTTTATGAGGTTAAGACATGGCTATTCTTCACAGCGTTCTAATGTTCTTCCCTGATGTGGATACCTGGTTCTCCCCAGTGTTCAGACATTTCATCCTTATAATTCTATATTGTTTTTAAAATAGATACTCAGGCATCCTCATATATTCAGACTAATATTCATATACCCACAGTAACATACTCTAAGTAAATATCCCAGGGGACATATACCTTATAGATACCTAATATATACTTAATATGAGCAGAAGAAAAGGGAAGAGAGGTCATTTAATTTATAAACAATTATGTTTATAGACCATTAAGCCACTCAAACCTAACCACGATAGACAAAAACCTAATCATTAAAAAATATCCATTGAGAGTTTATTGTATATTTTGTTTTGAGTTATTTTCCCCTCTATATTCTAGGCCACCTCTGTCAACAATAGCAATGAGATTACATGTAGACTTGCTTTCAGCTCTCAATACTTATGAGCTGCAAATGAAAGCTCTATGATGGTTGACATACTCCCTTGTCAGCAATGACCTAAAAGCAAGCAGAATAGTCCTACCATTAAGTGGGGCCGGGGCAAAAAAGGGTGGGTATCTTAATGCACTAACTGTGAATTAGTCTGTATGCAATGCTGATGCTAACTTTTAAGAATAAGGGTGAAGTAAGCAGCTTACTAGAATGTAAAAGAGAAATGTCGCTGGAGGAACCAGAGCTAAATGTGAATCAGAAGTAAATCCTGTGCCAATGAGCTGCTTGTTGACCTTGCCTTATAACCACCAATCAAGGCTTCCTGTTGGCCCTGGGCGATTTTCAAGAAAACTTAATGAAATACTTATACATCCAAGAAATTTAAGCCCAAACCTGAGACAGTAACTAATTTTCTAAGAGTGAGGGTGTGATGGTATCCCCTGCACCACGTGGACACAATACAGAAACTTGTAACAAACATTCTCCCAGAGATGACAGTCATTACCATTCCACCAGTGTGCAGACTGACACGGCTACAGCAGAAACTTCACCCACATTTCATCCCAAAGTTAGTAAAGACTGGAATCTGGTTGTTGTTGTTGTTTAATTTAAAAAACAAGGTCAGCGCCTTCAAGTTTGATTCTTGAATAGTAAGCCATTTCATCGCTCCAGGAGTTTTGAAGTGAACACATCTCATCTGTAGCCCCTCACCCCCAGCCTGCCAGAGTCTGCGCAAGTGAACCTATGAGTCTGTCTTACCTGTAATCTGACTCTGTCCTTGTGGATTAAAAGGACTTGGTGCAGAGTTCAGGGAGGGCCGTGGGTTCTGAGGCGGGACACCTACTCTCATACTGGGATGAGGAATGCGCCCTAAATCACTGAGGCGGTCAGAGAACAAACTAGGTTTAGAGTCATCAAGCTTCTGTCTGTGCCCTGGAAACAGCAAATCATAAAATAAAAGCATATTAATTAGCTGAACAATTGACCATGCTAAATAGATATGTGAACATACATACTGAGGGTTTAAGCCAAGGAATTATCAATACTGGTACTCATAATGGAGTGTCTTTATAAAGCCTTCCATTTCAAATTGCTTTATCAGCATCATCTAGTGGCAAGCATTGCTAGTTCTGTTCTGTAGTGGAGAGCGGAGGTCCCAGAGGGTGACTCAGAGTCAAGCATCAGAGTGAGGCCAGGACACTGGAGCTCACGAGGGACTCTCTGGGTACCTCTACTAGCCCTTCAGCGAGGATGGGGAAGGTGAACGTACTCTGGGGTGTGTCCTCTTGTTTCATGAAGGACAAGACCTCCCTGAAATTCAGAGAGGCTGTGCCCTGACAGCTACTACCCCAAAGTTGGGGCAGAAACAGAGACACACACATTTGTCAAAGGGAAATTTCCATGATGACTATAGTAACTTTTTCTTTTTTCTGTTACAATTAATATCTTACTGAGACTTCTTTCTGAAAAATCAAAACTCAATCCTAGAACCCCTTTAAGGGGAAAAAATAGAAATATAAATAAGGAAACTCAAACTCTCAAGAGGAACCTGGATACTTTGTGAGATGTCAAAGCCTGAAAGCATGTAACGACTTGTGTTAAATCACAGCTTTTTTAAATTTTAGATCTAGAACTGTGGCTTTGTAAAAGATCGAAAAAATATCTTTTGGGTTACCATGTGAATGTGATAATCCATTATTTAAAAAATAAAAAATTTTGTCTCTCTTCTAGTTTATTCAAGTCTAAAATCCAAGGAAATCCTAAAATATTGGAAATATACAAATTAAAAGATAACTAAGTTTCTAAGACTTCTTTAAAAAGACATCAAATCATACTTAGTAAAGAGTACAGTACTGTCTCGCTGCCACATTAGTAAAGTGTAGACCTGTACAGTGATGCTGTGGTGAACAAGTACAATAATGCCTAATACATAAACAGAAATATACTGTGGATTCTTCTTTCCATATACCAGTGAGGCCCTAGCATGTTGCCCCAACATTTTAGTAAAATGTTAAGTAATTGAAGCTGATTTAAAGAGCCGTTAAGAAGACTGGAATAAGTCTTTCCCCTTTGATTAAGGGAATGAAGTTTAATATCCATAAAAGAAAAGAAAAAAAACCTTGAAGGAGGATTATTAAGGACCTTCAAGAACAGGAAGGTATATTCTATGGGCAGCAAGAACAACTCATCTTCCACTGAGTACAGGACAAGAGGACTGTATCAGGATAGGGTTAAGTTGAACATTAGAATTTCCCAACTATAAGCTGTCTTCATAAGACAAATTCCTTATTTTATTTGCCCCAAAATGTATTTTCCTGTCTCCTTTTTCATTGCCTACCCAGCCCAAAGAAAACAGACAGGAAGCCAAGGCTTGGTAATATGAGTGTAGCTGTCTCCCCAGCCAAACATGTTCCAACGAGACCCATTAACTGAAATGCACCCACCACCCTATTTCCTGCCAGTGCAAGTTTGGGGCATCTGCTATAACAGAGGGACTAAGACTAGGAGAAAAATGATCAGAAAAATACTAGGGAAACTACCCTTTGGGTTACCATGTGAATGTGAGACTTCACATTGTTTGTTGATGGCTGTTTTCCCCACCAGTTATGACTTTTTATCCAGCTTACAAATAGATTTTAGAACTCTGACGAGCTTTTAGAGATTAAACAGCTCCTAGACCCCAGCAAGTAAGGTATTCATAGATGAAGTGACTGGGCCCTACAGAGGGAAAACAACTACCCTATGGTCCTCAGATACTGACTAGCGAGGCCTGAACTAGGGTATGGTTCTTGTCTTGGTTGACTAAGTTTTCCACTCATCACGTGGCTCTACCAATGTTGGCATTCTAGTTTTTTTTCTTCCCTTCCTCTTCCAGCGGCTGTGGAGGACTGAAAAATATCCAGATCTGCAGAGTGAGACACCTAAGAACTAAGCCCTGTGAAGTGTCAAGGCTGGTTTTCAAAGCAAGTAGAAGCAGCAGCAAGGATTCAATTACAAAGTTAATAGCGCACCCATTACCCTAAACAAACTTCCATCAATACATCTTGCTGTTTCTAACTAGCTTCACGATTAGGGAATTATATAGGACTTGTCACAGTTAAATCTGTGGATTCTGTTCCTTGCACGCATACAAAAAAGTATTGGTGTGGTGTTGATACAGCTGTAAACATTAACAAGAAAGCTTATGGAATTGTCCCTGGAAGTTATTTTTTTTAATAGGCCATATTTTTGGAATGGCAGATTCCCTGAGGGCTAAGGGGAGGGCTACATGATCTTGCATGGCTCCTTTATACAGTGGGACTTTATGTGGGCCATGGGTCACAAGAAAATTTAATAAGCTTTGCCTCTGCTTTCTACAGCCTTTTCATTGGGTTTTCATGGAGACTGCATGAGATTTGAGCTCAGTATATGGATGTGTGAGCACACTTTTATTTTCTCTTAGCCTAGTGCTTCAGGGGAGTAATTGGAAGTCATAGACAAAAATAAAGGACTTGAGAAGCACTTACAAGTGTGAAAAATTTAAGAGCAGGTGAAATTTTAAAAGCCTCAATGACCTTTTGGAAATTATCTTTTTTTAAAAATATATTTTATTGATTTTTTACAGAGAGGAAGAGAGAGGAATAGAGAGATAGAAACATCGATGAGAGAGAAACATCGATCAGCCGCCTCCTGCACACTCCCCACTGGGGATGTGCCCGCAACCAAGGTACATGCCCTTGACCGGAATCGAACCTGGGACCCTTCAGTCCGCAGGCCGACCCTCTACCCACTGAGCCAAACCGGTTAGGGCTGGAAATTATCTTTGAAGGCGAGCTACCAAGTATCTACAGACACCCTAGAGTGGTGGTTCTCAACCTGTGGGTCACGATCCCTTTGGCGGTCGAACGACCCTTTCACAGGGGTCGCCTAAGACCATCCTGCATATCAGATATTTACATGACGATTCATAACAGTAGCAAAATTACAGTTATGAAATAGCAACGAAAATACTTTTATGGTTGGGTCACAACATGAGGGACTGTATTTAAAGGGCCAGAAGGTTGAGAACCACTGCCCTAGAGTAACTCAGGGGCCATCTATCTGTGGCTGCATATATACAGAAAACACACGTTTTCCCTTGTATACATTTGCTCCTGCACAGCCACCACAACCACAACAAATTCTTACAGTACAATGAAGAACAAAAGCTGAACAGATCCTCTGTTTCTCAAGCGTGACAAATACCCACCAGCACTACACCACATCAGGGTAACACTGGAATGATTGGCTGAGAGAAGATGTACTTAAACCCTCAGCACCCAAGCAATGCCCTCAGAAATGGAGGGCACGGAAGACAGAGGGCACACTGGCTGTAATCAGGGACAGGTGCTCTGCCATGGTGTAAGGAGAACTTAATCTCAACCACATAGCCAAAGGCTGGATCTGATAAAGGTATAAAGAATGGGAAACTCTTTAAGACTATTTAAAAGCTCGGTCCTAGACCCTCTTTTATGGGATCCTCTCTACTTTCTTCTTTGAGCAGTGGCTCTTCCACCCTAACTGGATAAGAAAACCCTAGGGAGCTTTGAAAATATGAGTGTCCAGGCCCCATATCAGCTCAATTAAATCAGAATCTCTGGGAGTGAGTCCAATGGCCAGCTGAGGTAGAGAACCATTGCCCACTGTGATCTGAGTCCCATGCCCTCAATGTACCTATTCACGCCAATGACTCCCCATTTCTGGGGTGAGCCCTGACCTCGGCCCCAAGTTCCAAGTTTATGTATCTCACTGCCTACTTGACTTTTCCCTGTGATGTCTCAAAGGTATCTTAAATACAGTATATTTAAGATAAAATTATTTATTCTCCTATCCCAAAAAAACCTCAGTTCCTCCCTAAAAGTCCCCCCATCTCAATAAAAGTGGCACCAGCCATTCATCAATTATCCCTCACTCCCACATTCAATCCATTACCGAACCTTGTCATTTCCATCTTGAGAGCATTTCTCAAACCTCTCATTTCCAACGGTACCACCCTAGTCCAGGAACCCATTATCTCTCTCTGGTCATCCGACACTGTCTCCTTTTCCTCTCTTATCCTTATGAGAACCTTCCCATATTCCTGAAATGCTCTCCCTGGATTCTTTGTACAATCTTCTCCTTCTCATCCCTTAGGCCTTATGGTGAACACCACCTCCTCTGAGAGGTCTCGCCTGCCTACTACACCCAGAGTATGTTTCCTCCCTCTCAAACACACCCTCTCTTTATTTCCTTTATAATTAGCTTGTGTATTTATTTGTCTCCCCTGCATGACTGTAAGTCCATGAGAATGAGTGCTCTGTCTTGTTTACCGCTGTATCCTCCAACAGTTCAGTGCCTGCACATACAGCAGGTACTCAATATTTATGTAATAAATGGATGAATAAATATTTTCTTCTTTTAGATGAATGTCTTGGTTAAGAGAAAATATTTTGGCCCAGAATATCATATTACAATATTATCTTTCCCCAAAAAACACTCTTCTCATTTGGCAATCTAGTGGGTCCAGTGAGCAAAGCGATTCTTTAGAGAGCGGCCTATATTAGTGCTTCCTACGAAATTTCCCTGAAAGACATTCAAGTGAAAGCTTACTTGTGTTCTTTCTGAAAAAGTCCCATTTGCCCTCTCAATAATTCTTAAGCATTGTTGCAAGTCATTTTGAACCAGAGGGATAAAAAAAGACAACAGAAATAATTTAGACTCTAAATCTCAGAGCAGTGAACTTCTTTTATGGATGAGGACCCTGAGTCCCTGAGAGGGGAAGTGACTTATCCAAAGTCACATAGTTAATGGCAGGATGAGAACTCAGGTTTTCTGGTTGTTGGTCTAGCCCTCTTCCCTCCCATTGCCAACAAGCTTATTTTAGATTCTAACAGTGAAGTCTCAGTCATTCAGGGGAAAGCATGATCACAAGTGAA